CAGCGCGGCCAGCAGCGCCCGGCCGGACACCGCGGCCAGGCGGCGATCCAGGCTCCGGCCGCCCGCCCGGACACGCTCCAGCGCCGACATGCGGCCGCAGGGACGCGGAGTGGACACTGGAGTGGACACAGAGTGGACACAGGGAATGGGGAGTGGACACTGGAGTGGACACAGAGTGGACACAGGGAATGGGGAGTGGACACAGAGTGGACACAGAGTGGACAACAGAGTGGACAACCCGCAGCGCGGCCAGCAGCGCCCGGCCGGACACCGCGGCCAGGCGGCGATCCAGGCTCCGGCCGCCCGCCCGGACACGCTCCAGCGCCGACATGCGGCCGCAGGGACGCGGAGTGGACACTGGAGTGGACACAGAGTGGACAGTGGGAATGGGGAGTGGACACTGGAGTGGACACAGAGTGGACACAGAGTGGACAGTGGAGTGGACACAGAGTGGACACTGGAGTGGACACAGAGTGGACAGTGGGAGTGGGGAGTGGACACTGGGAAATGGGAGTGGACACAGAGTGGACACTGGATTGGACATGGAGTGGACACTGGGAATGGGGAGTGGACACAGAGTGGACACAGGGAGTGGACACAGGGAATGGACAATGAGAGTGGACACTGGGAATGGAGAGTGGACACTGGGAGTGGACACAGAGTGGACAATGGGAATGGACACTGGGAGTGGACACTGGGAGTGGGGAGTTGAGTGGACACAGAGTGGGGAGTGGGAACGGGCTGGACACTGGGAGTGGACACAGAGTGGACACAGAGTGGACACTGGGAATGGTGAGTGGACACAGAGTGGACAGAGGGAATGGGGAGTGGACACAGAGTGGACACAGAGTGGACACAGAGTGGACACTGGAGTGGACACTGGGAGTGGACACTGGGAATGGGGAGTGGACACTGGGAGTGGGGAGTGGACACTGGAAATGAGGAGTGGACACTGGGAATGGACACTGGGAATGGGGAGTGGACACTGGGAGTGGGGAGTGGACACTGGAAATGAGGAGTGGACACTGGGAATGGACACTGGGAATGGGGAGTGGACACTGGGAGTGGGAAGTGGACACTGGGAATGAAGAGTGGTCACAGAGTGGACACTGGGAATGGGGAATGGACACTGGGAATGGAGTGGACACTGGGACTGGACACTGGGAGTGGGGAGTGGACACTGGGAATGGGGAGTGGACAGAGAGTGGACACTGGGAATGGGGGTGGACACTGGGAATGGAGTGGACACTGGGAGTGGAGTGGACACTGGGAGTGGAGTGGACACTGGGAGTGGGCCCTGTCTCTTCTGTGGGGCCCTGTCTCTTCTATAGGGCCCCGTATTTTCTATAGGGCCCCGTATTTTCTATAGGGCCCTGTCCCCTATAGGCTCCCCCGCTATTTATAGCCCCGCCCCTTGCCCCGCCCACAGCCCCGCCCCTCGCTCTGCCCTCCCGCCCCCTTTTCCCGCCAGGACCGTACCACCTCCAGGGGGAGCACCCCCCCGCTCCCCCCCTCTCGCGCTGGTGGGTGGGAGGCGCCGGCCGAGGCGATAAAAGGGCGGGCGGGCGCGCGCGGCGCGCAGTGCGGGCGCCACGTGGAGCGGACGCGGAGCGCGCGGCACCGCCATGGCCTCCAACGGTACCGGCGCCGTGGGGACCCCTCAGCTCCCTTTTACCCCCGGCAGGGACCCCCGAGCCTCGGGGAGGGACCCCCAGACCCCTCCTTGCCCCGGGGACCCCGGGGGCGGGCGGGGGCTGCAGCGCCCGGCGCGGTCCGGGAGCACCGGGGGGGAAACCTGAGGGGGTTCCGGCGGCCGCCGCGGTTAACACGGCGTTGGTTGTGTTGTTTTTAATTAATGCTCTTCGGAGTCATTATTTTATCATTAATTGGTGTAGTTAAGGCGTTGTTTCATTGTGGGTTTTACACCGACAGCGCTGCTCTGGGGCGGTGTGTGATTTGCGCTGTGTGGGATTTGATGCCGCCCCGTTTCCGCCACGCCTCACTTCTCGATTTTTTTTGTTTTTAATTTGTTATCCCTTTTCTTTTCAATATTTCCCCGCTTTAACACTTAAGTTTTAAGCCCACACCGCAAATTTCGGGTGCTTCTCTGGGTTATTTTTACTGTTAAAGCCATCGCGGATGGGGCGGGGGACGAACAAAGCGCCGCGCCCGGATGCTGCACGCCTGCAGCGGGGAAGGAAATTAACCCCGGGCCCCCCAATTTTAACACAAAAACTTGGATTTTGGGTGAAATTCCCCGGAATTTGTTGTGGTTTTGGAGGAATTTCTGGGTGTTTTAGGGGGTCTGGGACCCGCTTTTTTCCCCGCCCGCCATTTTGTGGTTTTGCCTCTGCGCCACCGCCGCCATTTTGTGCGCGCGGCGCGTGCGCGGCGCCGCTGCCGCAGTGACACATCCGGGTCCTTCCGTTAAATCAAATTAAATCAAAATCAGTCAAATCAAATTAGATTTAATCAAATTGCTTCAAATGCATCAGAAATTAAACTCTAAAACTTCGGTGTCGACCTTAAAAATTCCCCTGCTGTTTCTCCCCTGCGAGACGGGAAATTGCCGCCAGGTCCTGAGGGGGAGGGCTCAGTTCCGCTCTCTTCGGTGCGGATTTATGAGGGAAAATTAAACGTATTTTAATGAAATATAAAGTTTTGTAACTAGATTTGTGTTTCATTGTGCTGTTTATGTCACTTTTTTGAGAGAAATTCGATGGTAAATGCCGGTTTTTAGACTGTCCAAATACCCCCCCCGGGGCACGTCTTTTGTTAGACAAAGCCTGAGGGGAGTTCAAAACCGTACCTTCATTTGGAGATCTAAATATTGAAGTTTAACTTTCTCCTTTAAAATTTTGCGTATAAATTGTTTAATTCGTTGATTTTGTGATGTGTTTGAGGCTTTTTGCCGTTAGAACCATGTGCTTTCACACCCCCTTTTGTTGTGTGGTGCCTGAGGGGAATTTTAACTTGAAAATTTTCTGTCTAAATAATTATATTTATTTTAATGTTTATTTTTTTTTATGAATCGTAAATAATTTAAATTCGAGCTCTGAATGCTTTTAGAGAGGGATTTTTGCTGCAAAAACAGGAATTTTAGACCCTTTTCGTTGTGCTGAGCCTCAGGGGGCTTTAGGGCTTCACGTCCCTTTTCACGTCTAAAATTCATCTTTAGTTTCGCTATTCACAATTAAAATTTGCGGTGATTTTGGGAGATAAAATCGTTAATTTTCTTTTTGGGCGGGAAATTTCGCTCTTCATCAGGGATTTGGTGCTTTGGCGTGGGTGAAACACCCAAATTTTCCTTTATTTTGTGTCAAAATTTCGCTATTTCTGCCCTAAAATAAAAAATCGCTCTTAATTCTTTTAATTAAATTATTAAAATATATTTATTTTAAGGAACTTTTAATTCTTCTGTAGTTAGAAGCTTTCTGCTAATAAGTAATGCCGTTAATTAATTCATTTTTTATTTAAATGTATTTTTATGCTTGCCAAGTGTTAAAATTTATTTATTCCAAGCTCTCTAATTAATTTTTTGTAATTGAAAGTATCTTTCTATTAACGTAAAATTAATGGCTATTGTGTAAATGATTTTGGGTATTTACAGGGTGATTTTTTTCTTAATATTGGTCAATTAAGTTTTTTTAATTACAGAAATAAGTAAAGACAAAATTGATTTATTGATAAATAATGGGGTATTGATTGGATTTTAATTATGGAAATAGGTGGGAAATATCCTTAAAACAATGAGTTTGTGTTATTAATCATTAAGGGAACCCTTTAATTATAAAAATCGGTGTAAAACGCCTTTTTAATACACGGATTTAATGTTGGATTTGTGCTAATTTTCCTAATTAAAAACGTATTAATATGCAAGGATAATTTTAATTAATGGCTAATATGAGTATTAATTAGGGTTGTTCATGATAAATGGAGTTATTTGTTTATTTTTTATTTAAAACCGCTCTAATTACAATTAATAATGTAAAGGAAAGAATTTATTTTAAAGTATTTATTAGTTCATTAATTTAAAAGTATTTCTGTTTTATGTGATTAAAAGGGGTTAATAGCTAAAAGCAATAAATTAATTAGTTGAAAGGTGATTGATGTTTATATTTGAAACCACACTGTTGGTAATTAGTGTGATGGGAAATGACTTAATTAAAGGTGTTAATTAATGTAAAAAATAGATTTAAGATATTAATCAATTTGTTTTGTCATTAAAGTCACTTAATAACCAATCATTTTAATTACGTGGGTTGGTTCTAAGATAATGTTGCTGTTAGTTCTATAATAAAATTATTTGTTTAATTATTAGTAGGTGCTTAATAAATTAAACAAAGTATTTATTTTGAAGTGATTTAATTAATAATAACATTAATTAAATGGTTTAATTGTAAGATAATTCTGGTTTTATTTCTGTAATTAAAATGCTCTTTTAATAATTAGTAAATACATAATAAAGTTAGGAATATATATTTATTTTTAATTACTTCAGATTAATTAACCACGAGTTTTTTAACCACGAGCTTTTAACCCTTTCCTGTTCAGATTTAATAAATTTGGGGAAATAGATTTATCTTAAGTGATTTCTCATTAATTAACCCCAACTTTTCAACCCTTTTCCAGATGTAATTCATTAGGATAAATCAATTTATTTTAACTGCTTTCTGAGTAATTAGCCCTAACTTTTTAACCCCTCTCCAGATTTATTAATTAGGAAAAATATATTTAAGTGATTGGTGCTGGATTCACCCCATTTTTTAAATACTTTCCTCTCCAGATACAATTAATTAGGGAAAATTCTATTTATTTTAAGCAATTTTTCTTGATTAACCTCAACTTTTTAACCTTTTCCTCCCCAGATTTAATAAATCAGGGAAAATATTTTAACCAAGTTTTCCTTGAGTATCCCCTTTTTTTTCCACTCTTCCCTCTCCAGATATAATTAATTAGGAAAAAATACATTTATTTTAACCAAGTTTTCCTTGACCATCCCCGTTTTTTTAACTCTTTCTTCTCCAGATGTAATTAAGTAGGAAAAAATACATTTATTTGAACCAATTTTTCCTTGACCATCCCCATTTTTTTAACTCTTCCCTCTCCAGATATAATTAATTAGGAAAAACACATTTATTTTAACCGATTTCTACTTGAGATCCCCATTTTTTTAAACTCTTTGCTCTCCAGATATAATTAATTCTGAAAAAATACATTTTTTAAACCAATTTTTCCTTGACCATCCCCATTTTTTTAACTCTTTCCTCTCCAGATATAATTAATTAGGGAAAAACACATTCATTTTAACTGATTTCTCCTTGAGATCCCCATTTTTTTAAGCTCTTTGCTCTCCAGATATAATTAATTCTGAAAAAATACATTTTTTAAACCAATTTTTCTTGAGCATCCCCATTTTTTTAATTCTTTCTTGTCCAGATAAAATTAATTAGGAACAACACATTTATATTAACCAATTTCTCCTTGAGCATTCCCATTTTTAAGTCTTTTCTCTCCAGATATAATTAATTGTGAAAAAATATTTTTATTTTAAGCAATTTTTGCTTGCTTAACCTCATTCTTTAACCCTTTCCTCCCCAGATTACAGCCAGACGGCGACACAAAGGTACAACCCCCCTTCCTAACCCTTCCCCACCCCTAAAAATGCCCATTTTCAGCCGGAATTGTTCCCAAATTTGTGGTTTTTTTGCAGTTACGGCGCCTACCCCGCCCCCCCCAGCCAGAGCTACTCGCAGGGAGGGGGGCAGAGCTACTCCCAGCAGAGCTACGGGGGCTACGGGCAGAGCTCGGACTCGGGCTACGGCCAGGGGGGGTACAGCTCCTCCTACGGGCAGAGCCAGAGCGGTGAGTGAGATAAAAAATACAAAAAATGTAAAGTAAATAGAGGAAAATCCCAAAAAACCCCATTGTGCTATCCCATTGTACCCCAAAGCTGCTCCAGAGCTGGGACTGGGGCTACGGCCAGGGGGGTACAGCTCCTCCTACGGGCAGAGCCAGAGCGGTGAGTGACACCAAATATCCTAAAAGTATCCTAAAATAGGAAAAAATCCCCAAAATCCCCATTGTTCTATCCCATTGTCCCCCAAACCTGCCCCAGGGCCAGAGCTGGGACTGGGGCTACGGCCAGGGGGGTACAGCTCCTCCTACGGGCAGAGCCAGAGCGGTGAGTGACACCAAATATCCTAAAAGTATCCTAAAATAGGAAAAAATCCCAAAAATCTGCATTGTTCTATCCCATTGTACCCCAAACCTGCCCCAGCCCCAGAGCTCGGACTCGGGCTACGGCCAGGGGGGGTACAGCTCCTCCTACGGGCAGAGCCAGAGCGGTGAGTGAGATAAAAAATACATCAAATGTAAAATAAATAGAGGGAAATCCCAAAAAACCCCATTGTCGTGTGCCACTGGAGCCAGAACTGCCCCAAAGCTGCCCCAGAGCTGGGACTGGGGCTACGGCCAGGGGGGTACAGCTCATCCTATGGGCAGAGCCAGAGCGGTGAGTGACACAAAATATCCTAAAAATGGAAAATAAATACAGAAATATCCCAAAAATCTGCATTGTTCTATCCCATTGTACCCCAAACCTGCCCCAAAGCTGCCCCAGAGCTGGGACTGGGGCTACGGCCAGGGGGGTACAGCTCATCCTATGGGCAGAGCCAGAGCGGTGAGTGACTCAAAATATCCTAAAAATGGAAAATAAATACAGAAATATCCCAAAAATCCCCATTGTTCTATCCCATTGTACCCCAAACCTGCCCCAAGGCCAGAGCTGGGACTGGGGCTACGGCCAGGGGGGTACAGCTCTTCTTATGGGCAGAGCCAGAGCGGGGAGTGAGATAAAAAATACAAAAAATATAAAATAAATAGAGGGAAATCCCAAAAAACCCCATTGTCGTGTGCCATTGTACCCCAAACCTGCCCCAGCCCCAGAGCTCGGACTCGGGCTACGGCCAGGGGGGGTACAGCTCCTCCTACGGGCAGAGCCAGAGCGGTGAGTGAGATAAAAAATACATCAAATGTAAAATAAATAGAGGGAAATCCCAAAAAACCCCATTGTCGTGTGCCACTGGAGCCAGAACTGCCCCAAAGCTGCCCCAGAGCTGGGACTGGGGCTACGGCCAGGGGGGTACAGCTCATCCTATGGGCAGAGCCAGAGCGGTGAGTGACACAAAATATCCTAAAAATGGAAAATAAATACAGAAATATCCCAAAAATCCCCATTGTTCTATCCCATTGTACCCCAAACCTGCCCCAAAGCTGCCCCAGAGCTGGGACTGGGGCTACGGCCAGGGGGGTACAGCTCATCCTATGGGCAGAGCCAGAGCGGGGAGTGACACCAAATATCCTAAAAATGTAAAAAAGTACAAAAAAATATCCCAAAATTCCCCAAAAATTCGTGTAAGATCCTAAAAATCCTCATCCTTGTGTCCCATTGGGCCCAAAATTGGCACTTTGGGACTCAAAACTGGCCCCAGAACTGATCCTAGAACTGCCTGGGCAGAGCCAGAGCAGTGAGAGAGCCCAGAAATCCCAAAAATACCCTAAAAATTCCCAAAAAAAACCCCCAAAATTCCCATCCTTGTATCCCATTGGACCCAAAATCGGCACCTTTGGACCCAAAACTGATCCCAAAACCTGCCCTGACACTCCAAACCTGACCCCAAAACTGCCTGGGCAGAGCTAGTGAGCCCAAAAATTCCCAAAAACTGCCCAAAAATTCCCAAATTCCCAAAAAATTCCCCAAATTCCCATCCTTGTATCCCATTGGACCCAAAATCGGCACCTTTGGACCCAAAACTAATTTCAAAACCTGCCCTGACACTCCAAACCTAACCCCAAAACTGCCTGGGCAGAGCTAGTGAGCCCAAAAATTCCCAAAAACTGCCCAAAAATTCCCCTAAAATTCCCAAAATCTCCAAAAATTCCCAAAATCCCCCACCTTGTATCCCATTGGACCCAAAATCGGCACCTTTGGACCCAAAACTAATTTCAAAACCTGCCCTGACACTCCAAACCTAACCCCAAAACTGCCTGGGCAGAGCTAGTGAGCCCAAAAATTCCCAAAAACTGCCCAAAAATTCCCCTAAAATTCCCAAAATCCCCAAAAATTCCCAAAAAATCCCCTAAATTCCCCTAAAATTCCCAAAATCCCCAAAAATTCCCAAAATCCCCCACTTTGTATCCCATTGGACCCAAAATCGGCACCTTTGGACCCAAAACTGACCCAAACCTACACTGAAAGCCCCAATTAATTATTAATTGTCTCCAAATTTCCCCTGTTTTTCCCCATTTCCCCTCAATTTCCCCTCATTTTCCCCCATTTTTAAATAAAACATTAATTAACGTTAATTAATGATTAATAATTTCCCAATTTCTTGGTTTTCCCCCCAAATCTCCCAATTCCCCGTGTTTTTTTCTCTCTTTTTCCCAATTTTCCCTTTTTTTTTACCTATTCCCCCCCCAATTTCCCCTGTTTTTCCCTGCATTTTCTAATACAACGTTAATTACCGTTAATTAGCCGTTAATAATTTCCCAATTTCTTGGTTTTCCCCCCAAATCTCCCAATTCCCCGTGTTTTTTTCTCTCTTTTTCCCAATTTTCCCTTTTTTTTTCCCTATTCCCCCCCCAATTTCCCCTGTTTCCCCCTGTATTTTCTAATGCAACCTTAATTAGCGTTAATTAATTGTTAATTGTCCCCCCAGGTTACTCGGCGCCGGCGGCTCCTCCCTCCTACGGCTCCGGCGGCTTCGGCTCCGGGCAGAGCTCCCAGGGCAGCTACGGCCAGACCTCCTCCTACCCTGGCTACTCACAGCCCCCTGCAGCTGCCTCGGCCTCCGGGAGGTGATTAATTAGTTAATTAATTCTTAATTAGTGGTTATTGTTGGTTGTTGTTAAGGGAAATCCCATAGTGGTGACATCAAACCCCAACCCAGTCACTCCCAGTACCCCCAGACCTCCTCCTACCCTGGCTACTCACAGCCCCCTGCAGCTGCCTCGGCCTCTGGGAGGTGATTAATTAGTTAATTAATTATTAATTAGTGGTTATTGTTGGTTGTTGTTAAGGGAAATCCCATAGTGGTGACATCAAACCCCAACCCAGTCACTCCCAGTACCCCCAGACCTCCTCCTACCCTGGCTACTCACAGCCCCCTGCAGCTGCCTCGGCCTCTGGGAGGTGATTAATTAGTTAATTAATCAGTAATTAGTGGTTATTGTTGGTTGTTGTTAAGGGAAATCCCATAGCGGTAACGCCCAACCCAACCCAACCCGGTCAGTCCCAGCACCCCCAGAGCTCCTCCTACCCTGGCTGCTCACAGCCCCCTGCAGCTGCCTCGGCCTCTGGGAGGTGATTAATTAACTAATTAATCGTTAATTAGTGGTTATTGTTGGTTGTTGCTAAGGGAAATCCCATAGCGGTGACACCAAACCCCAACCCAGTCACTCCCAGTACCCCCAGAGCTCCTCCTGCCCTGGCTGCTCACAGCCCCCTGCAGCTGCCTCAGCCTCTGGGAGGTGATTAATTAGTTAATTAATCAGTACTTAGTGGTTATTAACTGTTAGTGTAAGCCTAAAACCCAAATTGGTGACACCAAACCCTAACCCAGTCACTGCCAGTGACCCCAGAGCTCCTCCTGCCCTGGCTGCTCACAGCCCCCTGTGGCTGCTTGTGTGCCTGGCAGGTCATTAATTAATTAATTATTAATTAATTACTATTTTGGAACAAATCCCAGGTGGTTTTTGGGTCAATTCCCTGCGTTTTCCGTTGATCCTTGTCTCCTGTCGGTTCTAATTCCCATTTTTTGGGTGAATTTTGGGTGGGTTTTGGGTGAAATTCCAGCTGGTTTTTGGGTGAAATTCTGGTTGTTTTTTGGGTCAAATTCCAGCTGTTTTGGGTCAGAATTCCAGCTGGTTTTTGGGTGAAATTCTGGTTGTTTTTTGGGTCAAATTCCAGCTGTTTTGGGTCAAAATTCCAGCTGGTTTTTGGGTGAAATTCTGGTTGTTTTTTGGGTCAAATTCCAGCTGTTTTGGGTCAGAATTTCAGCTGGGTTTTTTTTTTTGCCAAATTCTGGTTGTTTTTTGGGTCAAATTCCAGCTGTTTTGGGTCAAATTCCAGCTGGTTTTTGGGTGAAATTCCGGTTGTTTTTTGGGTCAAATTCCAGCTATTTTGGGTCAAATTCCAGCTGGTTTTTGGGTGAAATTCCAGCTGTTTCTGGGTGAAGTTCCAGCTGTTTCTGGGTGAAATTCCAGCTGTTTTTTGGGTGAAAATCCAGCTGTTTTTCATTTTTTGGGTGAATTTTGGGTGGGTTTTGGGTGAAATTCCAGCTGGTTTTTGGGTGAAATTCAGGTTGTTTTTTGGGTCAAATTCCAGCTGTTTTGGGTCAGAATTCCAGCTGGTTTTTGGGTGAAATTCAGGTTGTTTTTTGGGTCAAATTCCAGCTGTTTTGGGTCAGAATTCCAGCTGGGTTTTTTTTTGGCCAAATTCCAGCTGTTTTTTGGGTCAAATTCCAGCTGTTTCTGGGTGAAATTCCAGCTGTTTTGGGGTCAAATTCCAGCTGGTTTTTTTTGGGTGAAATTCCAGCTGTTTTTTGGGTGAAAATTCAGCAGTTTTGGGGTGAACTTCCAGCTGTTTCGGGGTGAAATTCCAGCTGTTTTTTGGGTGAAATTCCAGCTGCTTTTGGTGAAATCCCAGCTGGTTTTTTGCATTAAAATCCAGCTGTTTTGGTGTGAATTCTGGCTGGTTTTTGGGTGAAATTCCAGCTGTTTTTGGTCAAATTCTGGGTGTTTTTTTGGGTCAAATTTCAGCTGGTTTTGGGTGAAATTCCAGCTATTTTTTGGGTGAAATTCCAGCTGTTTTTGGTGTGAAATTCCAGCTGGTTTTTGGGTGAAATTTCGGCTTTTTTTGGGTCAAATTCTGGGTGGTTTTTTGGGTCAAATTGCAGCAGTTTTAGGGTGACAATTCCAGCTGTTTTTGGGGTGAATTCTGGGTGTTTTTTTGGGTGAATTCCAGGTGTTTTTCAATAAAATTCCAGCTGATTCTTGGGTGAAATTCCGGCTGGTTTTTAGGTGAAACTCCAGCTAGTTTTTATGTGAAATTTTGCTTATTTTTTGGTTAAAATTCTGCTTACTTTTGGGGTGAATTCCAGCAGTTTTTGGGGTGAATTCCAGCTGTTTTTCAGGAAAATTCCCACTGGTTTTTGGGTGAAATTCTGCTTATTTTTTCGTTAAAATTCTGCTTATTTTTGGGGTGAATTCCAGCAGTTTTTGGGGTGAATTCCAGCTGTTTTTCAGGAAAATTCCCGCTGGTTTTTGGGTGAAATTCTGCTTATTTTTTCATTAAAATTCTGCTTATTTTTGGGGTGAATTGCAGCTGCGTTTGCTAAATTCCATTTTTCTGCAACTCCCACCTATTCCTTTGAACCTCCCATCTCTTTCCCCCCAACCCCCTGTATTTTTTTCCCCCAAAATTCCCATTTTTTACTGAAATCCCCCTTTTTCCCCCAGTTACGGCAGCGGCTCCGGCAGCTCCAGCTACGGGCAGGCCCCGAGCGGGGGCTACAACCAACAGCAGAGCGGGGGCTACAACCAGCAGAGCTATGGGCAACAGTCGTCCTACAACCCGCCCCCGAGCTACAGCCAGCAGGGCCAGTACAGCTCCGGGGGATGTGAGTGATGGTCCCAAAAAAACGGGGATTTTGGGGTGAAATCCGAGGATTTTGGGCAAAATGGGGACTAAAATCGGTTGATTTTTGGGTGATGTCGGCTCAGTTTTGGGGGATTTGGGGTGGAATTGAGGGATTTGGGGTGGGAACTGTCATCCTACAGCCCCCCCAAAATCACATCTAAAATGATGTGATTTGGTCCGTGGATTTGGGTCAGAATCCTTGGATTTGGGGCCGCGTTTGTTTCCGAAACCCCCCGATTTTTGCCCAAATTCCCCGATTTTTCCCCCAAATTCCCGACTTGCCCTAATCCTGCCGTTTTGCCCTCTTTTGCAGCCAGCAGCTACGGGCAGGATGGGGTTTTGAGGTTGATTTGGGGCAGAATTCTCTCAATTTTGGGTCAGAATCCCAGGATTTGGGGCCGCGTTTGTGTCCAAAACCCCCCGATTTTTGCCCAAATCCCCGATTTTCCCCCCAAATTCCCGACTTTCCCTAGCTCCTCCATTTTTCCCTGTTTGCAGTGAGCAGCTACGGGCGGGAGGTGGTTTGGGGTTGATTTGGGGCAGAATTCTGTCAGTTTTGGGTCAGAATCCCAGGATTTGGGGCCGCGTTTGTGTCCAAAACCCCCCGATTTTTGCCCAAATCCCCGATTTTTTCCCCAAATTCCCGACTTTCCCTAGCTCCTCCATTTTTCCCTGTTTGCAGTGAGCAGCTACGGGCGGGAGGTGGTTTGGGGTTGATTTGGGGCAGAATTCTCTCAATTTTGGGTCAGAATGCTTGGATTTGGGGCCGCATTTGGTTCCGAAACCCCCCGATTTTTCCCCAAATCCCCCGATTTTTCCCCAAATTCCCGACTTTCCCTAACCCTGCCATTTCCCCCTGTTTGCAGCCAGCAGCTACGGGCAGGAGGGGGGTTTGGAGTTGATTTGGGGCAGAATTCTCTCAATTTTGGGTCAGAATCCCTGGATTTGGGGCCGCGTTTGTGTCCAAAACCCCCCGATTTTTGCCCAAATCCCCCGATTTTTCTCCCAAATTCCCAATTTTCCCTAACCCTGCCATTTTCCCCTTTTTCAGCCAGCAGCTACGGGCAGGACGGGGGTTTGGGGTTGATTTGGGGCAGAATTCTCTCAATTTTGGGTCAGAATCCTTGGATTTGGGGCCGCGTTTGTGTCCAAAACCCCCCAATTTTTGCCCAAATTCCCCGTTTTTTTCCCCAAATTCCCGATTTTCCCTAACCCTGCCATTTTCCCCTCTTTTGCAGCCAGCAGCTACGGGCAGGAGGGCGGCTCGCTGAGCTCGGGCGGGTACCAGGAGCCCGGCGGGGGCTACGGCTCCTCGGCGTGGGGGAAAATGGGGACAAAATGAGGGAAAATCTGAGGAAAAAATGGGGAGAAATTAGGAGAAAATTGGGGAGAAAATGGGGGAAAAAGAAGGGAAAATAGGAGAAAAATGGGGGAAAATTTGGGGTAGAATGAGGAAAAAATAGTGGGAAAATTGGAGAAAATGGAAGAAAAATGGGGAGAAACGGTAGAGAATTGGGGAGAAATTGTAGGAAAAAAATGGGGAGAAAATGAGGGAAAAATGGGGAAAATTGGGGAGAAATTATAGGAAAATGGTTCTGGGAGAATGAGGAAAAAATGGGGGAAAAGTGGGGGAAAATGAGAAAAAAATGGGGGGAAAATTGGAGGGAAATGGGGGAAAATAGGGGAAAATGAGGGAAAATGGGAAAAGTGGAGGTTTGGGGATAAAAAAGGTGGAAAGAAAAATGTGGAAAATGGGAAAAAATGGGGTTTTGGTAGGAAAAAGGTAAAAAATGGAAAAAATGGTAAAAAAAGGTTTTAAAAATGAGTTAAAAATGGAATTTTGAGGAAGGTGAAAGTGGAAAAATTGGAGAAATGGATTTTTGGGAAATGAAAAGGTGGAAAATGTTGCCAAGGTCACCTGCAGCCTCTGGTCCCGGCAGGGGGAAAAATGTGGAGAAAAAAAGGTGAAATTTGGGAAAAATGTGGAGAAAAAAATGGAATTTTAAGGAAAAAACACTTTAAAATGGTGGAAATATATTAAAGGGAAAAAAAATGAATTTTTGGGGAGAAAAGGTGGAATGAGAGGGAAAAATATGGGGAAAAAAATGGATTTTGGGGTCAAAATGAAGGAAAAATCCTGAAGGAAAAAGTGAAATTTAGGGAAAAAATCCTGGAGGAAAAAGGTGGAATTTGGAGAGAAAAAATGTGATTTAAAAAAGGTGGGATTTAGGGAAAAAAATGTGGAAAAAGCAGGGAAAATATTAAAAAGAAAATGGTGGAATTTAAGGGAAAAATAATGAAAAAAAAAAGGTGAAATATGGAAAAAAAAACCTGGTGTGTTTTGAGGTCACTGCAGAGAAAAATGGTGAAAAAATGGTAAAAAATGGTAAAAAAGTGGATTTGGAGGGAAAATCCACTGGATTGGAAAGGTTTGGGATGGTTTGGTGCCTCTGGAGAGGAAATTTTGGTGTCCCGGTGCTGGAAATGGTGGAAAATGGTGAAAAAAAGCACAAAAAATGGTAAAAAAGCAAAAAAAAAAGGTAAAAAAGGACCAAAAATGGTTCAAAATAGCAAAAAAAAAAAGGAAAAAATGGTTTAAAAATGATCAAAAGTGAAAGAATGAGGGGGAAAGTGGTCAAAAAATTGAAAATGTGGTTGGTAAAAAAAAGTAAAAATGGTTGTGGGAAAAAAGGAAAATGGTGAAAATTTGTATTAAAAAAGGGAAAAATGGTAAAAATTGGTTTGAAGTGGTTAAAAATAGGAGAAAATTGAAAAAAAAATGGTTAAAAAGGTGAAAAAATGGTGAGGAAATGGTAAAAAAATATGAAAAAAGGGAAAAATGGGAAAAATATGGGGGAAAATGGTCAAAAATGACAGAAAAGGGAAAAAAATCAAGAAAAATTCAAAAGGGAAAAATGGAAAAAAAATTGGATAAATTGAAAAAAAAGATGAGAAAAATTTGGAGGAAGGAAGGAAAAAATTGTTTAAAAATGGAGAAAAAAGGGGGAAATGGTTAAAAATGGTTAAAAAATAAGAAAAAGGGAAAAACTGCAAAAGAAAAAAGGAAAAAATGCAGAAAATTTCAGAAAAAGGGAAAAAATTGTCTGAAAAATTAAAAAAAAAGGAAAATACTGGTTTTAAAAAATGTAAAAAATGGTTTGAAAATGGAAAAAAACAAAATGGGAGAAAAAAGGAAAAAAAATGCAAAAAAAAAGGGAAAATGTTGGAAAAATGCAAGAAATGAGGAGAAAATTGGTTAAAAATTTTAAAAAATGCAAAAAGAAAGGGGGAAAATGGTGAAAAAAATGTAAAAGGGGAAAAATTGGTTTAAAAATGGAAAAAAAAATTGGAAGGAAAAGGGAAAATGCAAAGAAAGAAATGGGAAAAATGGTGAAAAAATGAAAAAAAAAATGAAAAAATGGTTGGGAAAATGCAAAATAAAAATTGGTAAAAAGGGGAAAAATGTCTTAAAATGCAAGAAAAAAGATAAAAATGGTGGAAAGGTTTTAAAAATTGAAGAAAGAGGGTGAAAAATGGTTTTAAAATGCAAAAGGAAAGATTAAAAATGAAAAAAAGAGTAAAAATACAAAAAAAAAGAGTTAAAAATGCAAAAAAAAGGGAAAATTGGTTAAAAATGGAAAAAAAATCTTCTATAAGTGTAAAGGAAAAAGGTAAAAATGGTAGAGAAAGGGGAAAAATGTTTTCAGAAGTGCAAAAAAAAATGAAAAATTGGTTTAAAAATGAGAAAAAAAAGGGAAAAAATGTGAAAAAAGGGTAAAAAAATTTTTAAAAAGGTTAAAAATGCAAAAAAAGGTTAAAAAAGCAAAAAAAGTTAAAAATGCAAAAAAGGTAAAAACAAAAAAGGTTAAAAATGAAAAAAAAAATTTAAAATATAAGTGTAAAGGAAAAAGGTAAAAATGGTAGAGAAAGGGGAAAAATGTTTTCAGAAGTGCAAAAAAAAATGAAAAATTGGTTTAAAAATGAGAAAAAAAAGGGAAAAAATGTGAAAAAAGGGTAAAAAAAATTTTTAAAAAGTTTAGAAATGCAAAAAAAGGTTAAAAAAGCAAAAAAAGTTAAAAATGCAAAAAAGGTAAAAACAAAAAAGGGTTAAAAATGAAAAAAAAAATTTAAAATATTTAAAAATAAAGGTAAAAAAAGCAAAAAAAAAAGGGTTAAAAATTAAAAAAAAAAGGGGAAAATTGGTTAAAGGAAGAGCAAAAAAAGTTGAATTTTTGGGGCCGTCCAGGTGAGTATTTTGGGGGGATTTTGGGGGTTTTGTTGTTCCAAACGTGTTTTACCAACTCTGCCTTTTGTGTGCTGCAGGTGTGAAAAAAAAGCAGCGAAAACTCAAAATCCGCCGCTGTTTTGGGTTCAAAAAAGGCAGAAAAGGGCAAAAAAAAAAAAGCAAAAAAATTGAGAAATTTTAACAGCTGCAAAGGCTCAGGAGGGGGAGATCCAGGAGGGGGGAGAATGGGAAAAAAATCGGATTTTTGGGGATTTTTTTCCCCAATTTTGGGCTCAATCCCAACCCTGCTGCGTCCAGGAGGAAAAAGCGTCGGCGGCGAGGAAAAAACTCCAAAAAAACCCCAAAAAAGTGCAAAAATTCCTCAAAAAAGCCCTAAAAATTCAGCGAAAGAAAGTCAAAATATCCCCAAAAAATTTTTCAAAAGAAGCCCAAAAGGTCCCCCCAAAAAATTGCAAAAATTGCAAAAAAAAAGTTTAAAAAAATTCCAAAAAAACCCCAAAAAATTTCTCCAAAAAGGCCAAAAAATTCCTCAGAAAACCCAAAAATTGCCCCTCCAAAAAAAGCCTCCAAAAGCGAAAGAAAAATAAAAAAAATTATTGGAAGAATTCCAAAAAAATGCCAGAAAAATCCCTGGAAAAAGCAAAAAAAAAATCTTCAAGAAAATAAAAAAATTGAAAAAAAAAATTCCAAAAATTGCTGGAAAAAAGCGCAAAAAACCTCAAAAATTATGGAAAAAAAAAAGTCTCACAAATTGCCAAGAAAAATACAAAAAAAATGTCCAAAAATTCAGAATAAAGTTTAAAAATTCTCCTAAAAAAATCCTAAAAATTGCTGGAAAAAAAATCCCAAAAAAGGCCAAAAATTGCCAGAAAGGTCTCAAAAATAGCCCAAAAAACTTCCCAAAAATTCCTAAATATTGCCCAAAAAAGCACCCAAACATCAGCCAAAAACAACAGAAAAAGCCCAAAAATTGATGAAAAAAAATCCAAAAAATTCCTCAAAGAAATCTCAAAAATGTAAAAAAAACCTCACAAAAATTGCCAAAAAAACCCAAAAATTCCGAAAAAATCTAGGAAATTGCAAAAAAAAAAAAAAAAAGCTGGAAAAGAGTCCATAAATTCCTGAGAATAATCTCAAAAAATGTCCAAAAATTCCCCCCAAAAGGCCCAAAAATTCCTCACAAAAATCCCCCAAAAAACAACAAAAAAATCCACCCAGAAATTCCCCAAAAACAGCAGAAAAATTTCCTCAAAATGCTCAAAAATTCCCCAAAAATTGCCCAGAAAAGCCCAAAAATTCTAAAAAAAAATCCCAAAAATTGCCAAAAAATCCACAAAAATTTTTCAAAGCCCAAAAATTCTCAAATCCGGAAAATTGCAGAAAGAAACCCCTGAAAAAAAGGAAAAAAATTCCTGAAAATAATCCCAAAAATTAAAAAAAAAAAAGGGAAAAATTGCCCAAAATCCAAAAGAAAAAAAGGAAAAAAATTCCTGAAAATAATCCCAAAAATTAAAAAAAAAAAAGGAAAAATTGCCCAAAATCCAAAAAAATGGCCCCAAAAAACCCAAAATTTCAGAAAAAAAATTGGAAAAAATTGCAAAAAAAACCCCCTAAAAAAGTCCAAAAAATCCCAAAAAATGGCCCCAAAAAAGCCCAAAAATTCAGAAAAAAAATTTGAAAAAATTGCCAAAAAACTCCCAAGAATTTCTGAAAATAATCCCAAAAATTAAAAAAACCCCGAAAGTTGCCAAAAAATTCCTCAAAAATTCCCAAAAAAAGCCCAAAAATTCAGAAAAAAGTTGCAGAAAATTGCTGAAAAAGACCCTGAAAGAAACACAAAAAATCCTGAAAATAATCCCAAAAATTGCCCAAAAAATCCTCACAGAAATCCCAAAAATTGCCAAAAAAATTCCCAAAAAAAGTCCAAAAAATTCCGATAAAAATTCAAAAAATTGCTGAAAAGAGCCCAAAAATTCCTGAAATTTAATCCTAAAAATTGCTAAATAAACTCCCAAAAATGCCCAAAAAATGGCCCCAAAAAAGCCCAAAAATTGCTCAAAAAAGCCCCAAAATTCAGAAAAAAAAATTAAAAATTG